TCATTTGTCATAGTCTCATAATCATATCATGTCTCAATAGTCCATTCATATGTCTCATGTCATTTGTCCATATTTCACAAGGTCATGTCATAAATACTCCTCATAAGGTCCGCATAGGAATTCACAGAGATCCAGAGAGCATTCTTTTTCATATTAAAACCCATTTATTATTAACATTAATTTCATATTCATTTATTACTTTCAACAAAGAACAAATTAGAATAAATAAAAAATTGGACAGAACAACGGCACTTTCAACAAAGAACAAAGTAGAGTAAATAGAAAATCAAGCATAACAACGGCACCTTCAACAAAACAAAGTAGAGTAAATAGAAAATTAAACAGAACAATGGCAAGGGATTGGGATTACATAATCATTAATTATTTCCAACAAGAAATAAAGTAAAGCAAACAGGAAATAAGACAGAACAACGGCAAAGGATTGGGGGCCAATCCGACAAACAACTATCCAACAATTATATATCCCTACACCCCTGAGCGAGGTTCTCACTCCCCCCTTACCTGGATAGGCGGAGTTGAAACTTGGCAGAGCCTCCTCTTCTAGATTCTCCTTTCTTTCCCTCTCTTTCTTTCTTTCTCTCTCTCTTTCTCTCTCTCTCTCTCTAGAACTTTCACTTTTCACTCAGGTATATTTTTTCTCCCCCCTGCCCCTATTTATAGGCATTCTGACGCATCCGGAACGACCCGTACTGATTTCGGAACGGTCCGTTCCGGATCCTTCAAACGTGGGCAAATTTTCCAACTGGAACGGCCCGTTCCAAAATCGGAACGGCCCGTTCCCAAAAAGTAGAACGGCCCGTTCTAAAACCAGAACGGCCCGTTCTCAATCTCAGCAGAACGGCCTGTTCTGCTTCAGAACGGCTTTTTTTTCTCTATACTTCAGTGACCAAAATGATTTCAACCATTTAGCGACCGAATTAGCGATCGAAAATTTTTCAGTCGCTAAATAGTTTAGCGACCAGGGTTTTAGCGACGGATTAAATTCGGTCGCTAAGGTAAATAGTGACCGATTTTTGCAATTTAGCGACCGATTTCAGTGGTCGCTAAATTGCATATTTTTTATAGTGAACAAAACAGGGTTAACACACCCCTCAAGCAATTCACATCTAGATCATCAATTCTTGGCCCGTTCTCAATCTCAGCAGAACGGCCTGTTCTGCTTCAGAACGGCTTGTTCTGCTTCCAGAACGGCCCGTTCTCCAAACCAGAACGGCCCTAGAACGGCCCGTTCCAGGCCTGTTCTGGGTCTTTAAAAAACAACATATTCCTTCTTTTGGAACGGCCCGTTCCGCTTTTGGAACGTTCCGTTCCGACACCCAGAAATGCCCTTATTCCTTTATTAAAATTACGAAAATGTCATCAATAATTACGAAAATGCCATTACTAAAAAAAAAAAAAACTAGGTGTTACAATAGAAACAATGTTTCCTATGAAATTTTATGTAAAATCCACATGAAAGGTCGCATGTAATAAGAGAAATTCTGATAGTAATTATATCTAGTTTGTTTATATTTAAGAAAAATATATGATTTTTTTACTTATATAATAAATAATTTATAATAAATACTTTATAATAAATATTTTGTAATAAATGCTATATAATAATGACTATATATGGTGAAAAAAAATAAAGACTAATAAATACTTTATATTCAATACTATATCATAAATATAGTATTAATAGTTTTTGGATACTGAGTTTTAAATACTATTTTCTATCTTTATAAGTAGTACGAACGGCGATTGATCCTTAAGACATTTTAATTGTCAATAGAATCTAAAGTAAAAAATGATCAGTACATTGATCGTTGTCTTGTGTTTGATAATTGGCAGTGTTAACCATGTAATTTATGGTATTCAGAATACACTCAAAGAAGATCTAGAACTGGAAAAACAACTGAAGCTCATTAACAAGCCTCCTATCAAGAGTATTTATGTATTCAATATCCTTTATATATCATCATATAATATCTTTTGTTTAACTCAATCTTACTAAGTCCTTTATTTATGTATTCGATATCCTTTTTATATATATCATCATATAATATCTTTTGTTGAACTCAATCTCACTAAGTCCTTTAATAATTTGATTTATATTTGTTGTAATTTGAATTCTACAGACAGAGTTTGGGGATATTGTTGATTGCATTGATATTAACAAGCAACCAGCGTTTGACCATCCTTTATTAAAAAATCATAAGTTGCAAGTATACACTCCTTTAAATTACCTCAAATACAATTAACTTTCAATCTTTCCTTAATTATATTTCCTTAGTTTGAATATTTGTTTTCTATTTCTTTTATTACAGAGAAAACCCAACTTTGGAAAAACAAGTGTGAAGACTTCACCAGCTAGATCCATATTTGGGCTTGATAAGGACAAATGTCCATTAGGGACAGTTCCTATTCGGAGAACCACAAAAGATGATCTAATTCGAGAAAAATCATTATTAAATGATCATATGATCATGACTCAAAAAGCTCCTGGTATTCATGTAAGTGTTCTTGAAAGCTTAAATTTCAAATGTTCATGATTTTTTATTATAATTTACATCAAATCTAAGGGTTAATAGGATGAATTTTGTAGGTTGCAGAAGTATCTCTCAAGTCGCGTTTTGGTCCTTATTCCAACAAGAAATAAAGTAAAGCAAACAGGAAATAAGACAGAACAACGGCAAAGGATTGGGGGCCAATCCGACAAACAACTATCCAACAATTATATATCCCTACACCCCTGAGCGAGGTTCTCACTCCCCCCTTACCTGGATAGGCGGAGTTGAAACTTGGCAGAGCCTCCTCTTCTAGATTCTCCTTTCTTTCCCTCTCTTTCTTTCTTTCTCTCTCTCTTTCTCTCTCTCTCTCTCTAGAACTTTCACTTTTCACTCAGGTATATTTTTTCTCCCCCCTGCCCCTATTTATAGGCATTCTGACGCATCCGGAACGACCCGTACTGATTTCGGAACGGTCCGTTCCGGATCCTTCAAACGTGGGCAAATTTTCCAACTGGAACGGCCCGTTCCAAAATCGGAACGGCCCGTTCCCAAAAAGTAGAACGGCCCGTTCTAAAACCAGAACGGCCCGTTCTCAATCTCAGCAGAACGGCCTGTTCTGCTTCAGAACGGCTTGTTCTGCTTCCAGAACGGCCCGTTCTCCAAACCAGAACGGCCCTAGAACGGCCCGTTCCAGGCCTGTTCTGGGTCTTTAAAAAACAACATATTCCTTCTTTTGGAACGGCCCGTTCCGCTTTTGGAACGTTCCGTTCCGACACCCAGAAATGCCCTTATTCCTTTATTAAAATTACGAAAATGTCATCAATAATTACGAAAATGCCATTACTAAAAAAAAAAAAAACTGAGGCTATAAGACAAGGTAGCGGATAAGAGTTGCCTTGGGTATCACTAGTACACAAAGGGTCTTTTATGTCGCGTATTTTGAGCCTTTTACGTCAAAAAAGGCTCCGACGTTAATACGGGAGACGTAAATTTACTTCGCCTCTGAAAGACGACGTAAATTTACGTCAGAGATTCTCCCAGACCGACATAAAAAGGGACCAAAAACATGCCACAATTTTACGTTGGACAACGCCATGTCCGACGTAAATTTACGTCGGCCATTGCAAGGCTAGACGTAAATTTACGTCGGACAAGGCCATGCCCGACGTAAATTGTGGGAGTTTTTTTTTTTTAAACGTTTATAAATTGATATACCCAACACCTGCATATAAATTTACCTCAAATACAATTAACTTTCAATCTTTCCTTAATTATATTTCCTTAGTTTGAATATTTGTTTTCTATTTCTTTTATTACAGAGAAAACCCAACTTTGGAAAAACAAGTGTGAAGACTTCACCAGCTAGATCCATATTTGGGCTTGATAAGGACAAATGTCCATTAGGGACAGTTCCTATTCGGAGAACCACAAAAGATGATCTAATTCGAGAAAAATCATTATTAAATGATCATATGATCATGACTCAAAAAGCTCCTGGTATTCATGTAAGTGTTCTTGAAAGCTTAAATTTCAAATGTTCATGATTTTTTATTATAATTTACATCAAATCTAAGGGTTAATAGGATGAATTTTGTAGGTTGCAGAAGTATCTCTCAAGTCGCGTTTTGGTCCTTATTATGGAGTCAATGGAACAATTAAATTACCTCAAATACAATTAACTTTCAATCTTTCCTTAATTATATTTCCTTAGTTTGAATATTTGTTTTCTATTTCTTTTATTACAGAGAAAACCCAACTTTGGAAAAACAAGTGTGAAGACTTCACCAGCTAGATCCATATTTGGGCTTGATAAGGACAAATGTCCATTAGGGACAGTTCCTATTCGGAGAACCACAAAAGATGATCTAATTCGAGAAAAATCATTATTAAATGATCATATGATCATGACTCAAAAAGCTCCTGGTATTCATGTAAGTGTTCTTGAAAGCTTAAATTTCAAATGTTCATGATTTTTTATTATAATTTACATCAAATCTAAGGGTTAATAGGATGAATTTTGTAGGTTGCAGAAGTATCTCTCAAGTCGCGTTTTGGTCCTTATTATGGAGTCAATGGAACAAATAGTATTTATAATCCAAAACTTGATAGGACAGATCAAATCACCCTTTCAAATTTATGGGTTCAGAATGGGCAAGGAGATGCTGGTAACAAAATCTCAGTTGGTTGGCATGTGAGTTTTAATTGCTACAATTTTGTTTACTTGTAACAACATTTATACTTAAGTTATTTAATTTGTGTCAATTTGGTGATATAGAAAATTATACCTAATTAATCTCACACATTGGCACCAGGTGCTTCCATATTTATATGGTAATGATGCAACACATTTTTACTCGACATGGACGGTAAGGAAAGATGCCATTACATTTTTTTTATATTAAATTGGCTTATAAGAGAAATATATATATATGCAACCAGCGTTTGACCATCCTTTATTAAAAAATCATAAGTTGCAAGTATACACTCCTTTAAATTACCTCAAATACAATTAACTTTCAATCTTTCCTTAATTATATTTCCTTAGTTTGAATATTTGTTTTCTATTTCTTTTATTACAGAGAAAACCCAACTTTGGAAAAACAAGTGTGAAGACTTCACCAGCTAGATCCATATTTGGGCTTGATAAGGACAAATGTCCATTAGGGACAGTTCCTATTCGGAGAACCACAAAAGATGATCTAATTCGAGAAAAATCATTATTAAATGATCATATGATCATGACTCAAAAAGCTCCTGGTATTCATGTAAGTGTTCTTGAAAGCTTAAATTTCAAATGTTCATGATTTTTTATTATAATTTACATCAAATCTAAGGGTTAATAGGATGAATTTTGTAGGTTGCAGAAGTATCTCTCAAGTCGCGTTTTGGTCCTTATTATGGAGTCAATGGAACAAATAGTATTTATAATCCAAAACTTGTCATCCTCAACATATAACTGACACTGGTTTGGTACATCAGTGTGAGTCTGATCTGGTGAGGGATCTAGAGCAGCACAACTCCCTTTAGTGCTGACTCGAACACCATCATGAGCAACTGCAGTCTGTTGCTGAGAACGAGCCAAAAGTTCAAACTTCTGTTCAAACTGTTTTTCAATATTCTTCAGTTTCTCTTCAAACTGCATCTCCAATCTCTGCTCCAATCTCTTGATAACCTCTTGACTGCAAGAGTCGACAATGTTCCTCGATGATCGGCCACCAAAGAAATCTTGGTGGCTCCAGATCAAATCACCCTTTCAAATTTATGGGTTCAGAATGGGCAAGGAGATGCTGGTAACAAAATCTCAGTTGGTTGGCATGTGAGTTTTAATTGCTACAATTTTGTTTACTTGTAACAACATTTATACTTAAGTTATTTAATTTGTGTCAATTTGGTGATATAGAAAATTATACCTAATTAATCTCACACATTGGCACCAGGTGCTTCCATATTTATATGGTAATGATGCAACACATTTTTACTCGACATGGACGGTAAGGAAAGATGCCATTACATTTTTTTTATATTAAATTGGCTTATAAGAGAAATATATATATATATA